ATATGATCACGAAGGGTGATACATTTCTCGCCGTCATGGCCGTTATGCTCGTGGTAGCAGCAAAACGTGCCCGTGTTCTTCGTGGGCTTGTAATCCGGGTGCCTCGGCTTTGGCTTCGGTATCAAGTGTGCTATGCTGGGGTAAATGGCCACGCATGTGGCGTTCAAAGGTGTGTATGCCTCATACCTCGGGGTAGGGGCTGTCCTGACACGTGCTTAACCCACTGTGTTGACTGCCTGGGGTCAAGGATTATCATGGCGATACCCTTAGTTATCGCGGTAGTGTCCCTTACTCCTTTTACTAAAATGAGACTGGTGAGGATGGAAATCTTTCCTTTTGCCCTGAGATTGATATGTCTGTTGACTTGGCAAAGTATTAAGTAAGGCAGGGGGAGGCACCGCTGCCGTTTGGAAGGTCGAGGTCTTCTCATTTGGTTGGATCTGGCTTCCACTCCCTACTTGCTGATAAGGGGTGGTTGTGGGGGGTTTCCCTTGATATGTCCTTGCCTCGGCGGAGGCATGGTTGTAAGCCTGTGCCATCACCTCAGAGTAAGTCTTCCAAGTGTTGGCATTGATCATGTACTTGAAGAAACAATCACGTAGGCCTGCCGTGAAGGCCTTGAGGGCAGGTCTTGTCATCTGCCTCAGCGCAGCGAGAATACTCATGGCTGAAACGACCAGCATACTCTCGTAGTGACTCGTCCGGCTTCTGGCGAATAGTGTACAAGTCATCTGCAGAATGCAAGCGATCGGTCTGGAAGATGTGTTGAGAGACAAACAGTTTCCTCAGTTCCTCAAATGAGTCTACTGTCTCAGGTGGAAGACGGCAATACCAGTTTAGAGCTCCGCCAGAGAGGGTGGAGGGGAAGAGAAGACATCGCTCTTCGTCGGTGTGCATCCGATATGCCATGGTGGACTCAAAGAGGTTAAGGTGTTCAATTGGGTCCTCCCTTCCAGTATAGAGTTGTAAACCAAGCTTTTGTTTTGTCTTCGCTTGAAGGGGGTGTCGAGGATCCTCATTGTGAGAGGGCCAGGCCTGGGTTGGTTCCAGTCAGGTATCTCGGCCTGACGTTCGGCCTTCAACTTGTTTACTTCCTCAAGGAGCTGTAGGACAAGGGGGTCTTGAGTGGAGTCATGTACCACTGGATTTTCTTTCGTAAGTCTCCATCGCCTCTTGGAAGTAGGAAAGTTTGAGCAAAGGCGTGTGATGTGATTTTTTCTTGGACTCGTCGTACTGACTTCTAGGGCGAGTCTGTCGGAATACCTCAGAGTCCCATGTACCTTCATGTTCCTCTTGGAGCTGTTGTTCCTTCCCTAGATTGGCAGCTGGCCTGGGTCGTGGGAGGGGACCGAGTCTTTCAGAAACCCTTGGGTCATTGATCTTCGAGCATATGTGGAGGGGATTCTCTCGACGTTGCTTTAGGAAGTCTCGGCAGTCACGATAAACAACTTTCGATCCTTCCAACCCTTCTGCAAGGAGGTGTCTTCCTCCACTTCTCCTGCTTCTTCGGGTCGAAGCAGCTGGGTTGAGAGAAGTCTCATGTTGATCAATGTTTTGATGATTAGCTCGCTCCTTCATCAGGGATCACGGATACCATGTCGAAGGAAGTGTGACCCTTTGTGTTGAGGGGCACCCAGATGATGGTTGATGTCCACAAGGGGCAACGAGCTCGTGTGTTTGAGTACGCCTAGTTTCGTGGAGCGTCTCAAAGAGCTTCTCATACTGCTCTTGGAGGACCTCATTCTTCATTGCTATCTTGTTGTTCTGAGCTTCTAGCTCATCGACTTTAGCTTGAAGAGCAACCCTTTTTCCTTCCTTCTTTCGTTGCTTCGCACTAGGTGCAAGAGGGGTGTCATTCTGTGTGTTGTGGCTTCCTTCGCTCCCCATGTTGGAGAGGGATGCCTGGTCAAAAGAGAGTGTACGAATGGTGGAAACCAGCTTGACAAAGCTGAAGAGAGTGGGAATAAGTGTCGTTCCCACAGACGGCGCCAAATGTTGATGCACAAAATCAGTGAGGACTTTGGTACAACAGAAAATGTTAAGTTTGTGACCTTCGCTAGATTGCTCCGGTCACTAGTGTGGATAAGTATGTAAATGGATAAGGATAGGGAAGCAAACACAAGATGTACGTGGTTCACCCAGATTGGCTACGTCCACGGAGTAGAGGAGTTCTCATTAATTGTGAAGGGTTTACACAAGTACATAGGTTCAAGCTCTCCTTTAGTGAGTACTAGTGAATGATTTAGTACAAATGACATTAGGAAATATTGTGAGAGAATGATCTCTATTTATAGAAGAGAGTTTCTAGTTTCATTCTGACATTGACACGTGTCGTGTTGTGATTGGCTTTTGATGTTGACACGTGTCGCGCTATGATTGGCTTCTGATGTCGACACGTGTCGCGCTGTGATTGGCCTCCTGGTTGGAGAGAAACTCATCTGGGTCCTTGACGGTATAACGTTGACCGGTGCTCAATAGTTTCGGGATTGATCAAGTATGGTACAAACAAGTTTTAGCGCTGAGATTGCTAAGAATGTCAGGAGAAGAAGAAGAATTCTCCCAATTTTCCAAAGCTACCTTAAAAAGTCATCGAAACAGAAGAATTCTCGGAGGAGTATACTTAGCTACTAAGACTCGCTTCCTATGTGCAAGTCCACTTCCACTTTTAATACGTGCAACTAAGTTGTAAAGTTCTCTCAGAAGAAAAAATAAAAAAGAAGGTAAAGGTAAAGGTAAAGGTATAAAGTAATCCTTATCATTTATGTTTTTTTTTATTTTTTATTTTTATAATCTTTATCGTCTGTGCTTTGGTTGGGTGCATAATTTGGCATAAAATAGGCAATAGAAAATAAATTTTGGAAACTTTGCATTCCAACATTTTTTGCACAAACTTTTATAAAAATAAAAGATAAATGATTCTTCGTTCCCAAGTTAGATCTAACTTATGAAAAACACCACTCTGAACTCTTTCTCTTCCCCAATAAACTTGCCTGACTCACTCTCTCTAGTCCCTCCCTATTAGGGGTGGGTTCAAAAAACCGAAAACCGAAAAAAACCGAAAACCAAACCGAACCGAAACCGAAAAAGCCGAACCGAACGAAAAAACCGAACCGAATTGAAAAAACCGAACCGAACCGAATTCTTTTGGTTCGGTTCGGTTTTAGTGATCTAGAAACCGAACCAAACCGAACCGAACCGAATTAATTAAATTAATTTTTTATTTAATTATTTGTTTTGGGTATTATTTTCTAAACCCAATTTGTAAGTTAAAATGTGCTAAACCCAATGTGTTGCCAAACTTTAAGCTCAAAATATTAAAAAAAGGCCTATAAAAACTCTAAACCCTAACCTATTATTTCTCCCCAATATAAGGTTCCGGAACCAAACCTCTTCCCGAAGTACCTATATCCATCTCCATAGCACTGTCTACTTATGCGCCAGCTTTCTTTTCCAAATCTACTCTCATATAACATGTAACATAATCCATAAACATTTATTTTGGGTAGATTACTTGGGTAATTTGTGATGGAAAAAAATCCAACACACACTAAATAAATCCACCCACGCATTACCTTTACTAATCAAGTTGTCAACATGCAGTTACAAGCAAATAACACTGATCTTTGAACAACATCATACAATTTAACTTTTCTAAGTCATTTGTACGATTTTTGTGTGATTTTTGTGTTGTGAGGTTGTTAGTTTGGACTTTGGAAGACTTGATTGATGATTTTAGTTCAACTTTAAATGTTTATTTTCATTGTCTTTGATTCTAGTTAAAATGTTTATGTTATGATTGTGTTGGATATGTTAAAATTTAAAATTTCAATGAAAAACAATAAAAACAAAAAACCGAAACCGAACTGAAACTGAACCGGAAAAAATCGAACCGAAAAAAACCGAACCGAAAAAAATTGAACCGAACCGAACCGAACCGAAATTTCGGTTTGGTTTCGGTTTTGGCAAAAAACCGAATCGATTTAAACCGAACCCACCCCTACTCCCTATTACCTCATCGTAACTCCAAATTCGGTTCTGCTTGCGCCCACGCGTTCGTAACGAAGAGTACTACAAGGGTACACCAAGAAAATGGATCTCACGTGACACGACAATGTGGTCAACAAAAGTCAACGTTTATGCCTCGAAGAGCATTTTCGTAAATTCACACTTTAAAATGATAAAAACCGTAATGATTGGGGACGGGTCGTTACAGTTTATAGGCACTCCTTTTGCTTGCTTGTCATGCATCATAACATCGTTTTGATATGCTGGTTGTTTTTGTTATGAAAGAAATATGTGTTGAGTTCTGTAATCTTGCTACAGCTCAGTGCGCGAAATGGGTTTAATGAAAAATTTGACATAGATAAACAACTGATGTGTCATGTTTACTCGGTTCCATGAAATTTCTTGAGTCATTATAACATTAGGATTCTTTTTCTTCTTTAGTACGTTGGAATTCATACTCCAAGATGTTTGTTGCAAGAGAATATAAATGGGTATGTTACCGCTCTCTAGGATCCATGACACTACTGTGACAAGATTTAGCAACTGCTGATAATCTAATCCAAATCTCTGTAAAACAAAATGTCAATTTTATAAATCATGTTTCATAAATAAGAATTTAATGACTTTATTTTACATCAACTTTTGAAAATTAAGTTCGTTCAGGCATCCAATCTGCTTTATGTGTGCGTATGAACATAATTCATTGAGCTTGATCAAGCTCATTGTAAAAGCTCAAACAAATCGACGAAATAGATTAATTTTTCCGTTTGGCAATTGAATGAAGAAGATTACTTAACTAAATCCAAATCACATTTTTTTAATTATGTAGTCTTATTAGATTTGGAACTTAATGAAGAAGATTACTTAATGAAGAAGGTTACAACTTACTGTTGCTTCTTTAATTTTGGAACTTAATGAACCAAAAGTGTCCAAAAGAAAAAGACTAGGGAACCAAAACATAAATGACCTTCGTTCCCAAGTATATATCTAACTTATGATAGACACCACTCTGAACTTTCTCTTCCCCACTAAACTATCCAGACTCACTCTCCCTAGTTCCTCCCTATTACTCTCACTGCAATCATTTTTCTTCCCTTCTATTCTTCTTTGTCGTGTTCCCGTGCAGAGGATGGCAAGAGAAGAAGGCCACGCAATCGGGATCGACCTGGGGACAACCTACTCGTGTGTGGCGGTGTGGCAGAATGATCATGTAGAAATCATAGTGAACGATCAGGGTAACAGGACGACTCCATCTCACGTTGCCTTCACTGATGCCGAAATACTGGTTGGTGAAGCAGTAATTAACCAGGCTATTAGAAACACCAGCAACTCCATTTTTGGTAAGCTTATATTTCTATGAAATATGTTGTGAGTACATATTTTCTTTGTTCAGTTTTGTAGTCACCTGGTTCTTTCAATCCTTGATTTGTTGTACTTCATACTGCAATTGCGAAGTTATGCCGAGCTTGAGGTTCAAATTTTCAACATAAATTAAATTTGGGACAAGCAATAATTGATACAAGTGATCAATACCTGTTCACTAGGGTGCAACAATTATGCAATATGCCATACTTTTAATATACTACTGATGAGACAATTTTGAATGAATTGTTACTTAAAGCAATATAGAGCAACTACTATCCACTTTAGAATTGACATTAGAAGTTGTGAAAAATTATATGTTTGACAAAATTTACCCTATGTTATTTTTTTTTTTTTTTTGAATCATATGCTTGGACTCATCACAATTGCTGGTATGGACTTGGTATTGTTCTTTGTTAAAAATTCTTTAACTTGGTTAGAAAATAAAAAATTTGCATGACTTTGCAGATGCGAAGAGGTTAATTGGCAGGAGATTCAGTGATGCCTCTGTTCAAAGTGATATGAAACTGTGGCCATTTAAGGTAATTGAAGGTTCCGGAGATAAGCCTATGATTGTGGTTACTCAAAAAGGCAAAGAGAAGCAGTTTTCTGCCAAAGAGATCTCATCCATGGTTCTGGCAAAGATGCGAGAGATTGCTGAAGACTACCTTGGATCAACTGTGACAAATGCTGTTATTACAGTTCCTGCTTATTTCAATAATTCGCAGCGTGAGGCTACAAAAAGTGCAGGTATTAGTGCTGGCCTGAAGGTGATGCGTATCATCAACGAACCAAATGCTGCAGCAATTGCTTATGGGCTTGACAAGAAGGCGGGTTGGTATGGCAAGAGAAATGTGATGATATTTGATTTTGGTGGTGGTACTTTAGACATGTCACTAGTTACCATTGGTGATGGTGTCTTTGAAGTGAAGGCCACGGCTGGAGACACTCACCTAGGAGGTGAAGACTTGGATAACAAAATGGTTAATTATTGCGTTGAGCACTTCATGAGGAAGCATAAGTTGGACATGAGTGGAAACTTCAAAGCTCTTAGAAGGTTAAAAAGTGAATGTGAGAAGGCAAAGAGGAGACTTTCATTTATGACGACTACAGACATTGAAATTGATTGTTTGCATCAAGGTATCGATTTCCATATAACCATTACCCGTGCCAAATTTGAACAGCTCAACAGTGATTTATTCGACAAGTGCATGGAACCTGTGCATAAGTGTTTGATGGATGCTAAAATGGATGTAGGCAGAGTCCATGATGTTGTACTCACTGGTGGCTCATCTAGAATCCCCAAGGTGCAGCAACTATTACAGAATGTGTTCAAGGGAAAGAAACTATGCAAGACCATCAATCCGGATGAGGCTATAGCATATGGTGCAGCCGTTCAAGCAGCCGTCTTGAGTGGTGGGGATCTAATTGGGAAGATTCAAAACTTTGCTCTCTTGGATGTCACCCCTCTGTCACTTGGTGTGGCGATTGGGATTGATAAGCGCATGTCAGTTATTATTCCTAGAAATACAAGAATTCCTGTGAGGATCAAGCAAGATTCTTACACTACTATCTATGATTTCCAAACTGAAGGAACAGTAGCCATTTTTGAGGGTGAGAGCACTGCAGTCGTAGATAATAACTTGTTGGGTAAATTTATTCTGGATGGCATACCTCCAGCTCCTGCTGGTGTTCCTAAAATCACTATTTGCTTTGCTATTGATGACAATGGTATCCTAACTGTCTCTGCAGAAGACAAGTCTACCGGTCGAGAGAAAAGGATTTCGATCAACTGTGACAGAAAAAATTGCGATGGAATTGAGATCATGTAGGAAATGATAAAACTACAGCAAAACGAGGCTAAAGTTGAGGTTTATCCATGTTTCAAATTTGTATGGGGATGTTTTATATGCACTTATGTTTACATTCAATGGTGAATCGTAGTTTAAAATCTTTGCAAAAGCTATAGTTAACCCTATACATTGCTGATCTAACATGACGTTTCAGTATCCAAAAACAAAAAATAGAGCATTTTCTGTGTATGAAGTAAACTAATTGCCAAAAACAAAAATAATATAGGATTTTTAGTACTAAAACCCAAACAAAAATAATATGTATATAGATGGCAACACAGATCAGCATGTTTTATATGCATGCGTCATGTGTTGACTCCTATGGACAATAAAACTCAAGTGAAAAGAGATATGACACTACAAGACATCAACTTATCCACCACGACAATTTTACCACGGACTTTATAAACTCGTTATAAAAAGTACAAATTTACCACAAGTATAATAAGCATGTGGTGAATAACATTTTTTACCACGAACAAATTTTAGTCCGTTATAAATTAAAAGTGAATGACCACGTGCAAAGTTCCATGTTGTTAATATAATAAGCCACCACAGGCAAAGCTCGTGATCATTATTGTTAGTATCCACATCGTAATTAAAATAAAATTGGAGGGACACCAAAATGTTTCAAAATTTCAAACATATATGCAATTTGGAATTTTCACAGCACTACTCAAAATCTGTAAATATTAGTTGAAAAAAAAATCTGTAAATATTATTAATGAAACACTACTTATCAACTAAAATCCCATAAATTTACGGTTATAACTCTCTACAAATAACAAATAAAAATATAAATTATTAAACCCTGGATAAACATGTCAAACACTAAAAAGTGAAAACACAACTTAAAAAAAAAAAAAAAGATAAACACAAAAAAGTTGAAAAACACAAATTAAAAAAAAAGAAAGAAAGAAAAGATAAACACAAACCCACGTTTATCCTCTTAATCTTCTCTTTGCAGTAGACGTGGGATTCAAATTCAAACCTAAAATCTACACGTTTCTACGGTGTTTTCCCTCGCCCAGTAACTTCCCACTCAATAAACCCGAGTCAGTTGTGATTATTTGCATATGAAAAAGAAAACTAAAATCTCCAAGCTCCGACCATTCCAAAAGTTAAAAAAGTCGACAATATGAAGTGAAGAACCGAGGTGATCTTTTCTCTAATTTCTTTTCATTTTATTGATGAATGTTCTGTATGAATTTTTTTTGCGCTTTGTTGTTGTTTTTTTTTTTGTATCAGTAACTTCCAACTTTTCCCCTGCACCGGTTACGGTGATCCTCTAACTGGTGTTCAGGTAATTTCTGTTCTTAAATTTATTCTGAAAAAAAAATAAAATTGTAGACGCCATGAAAAAGAAAGAAGGCTTACATGTTTATATGAATTTGCACTATCATAATTTTGTGTATAGTTGAGTGTATCCACTTGGTTTATACCACATGATTATCTTTTATTTCCGTATTTACTTCTCTTACTTGAGATCAAATTAGTATATTCCCACCCAAGAAGTACAAGATTTTATTTTATTTCTCTTTGTGCTTATGTAGAAGTAGACATATAGAAGATGCAGTTAGTGAGGTTCGAGCATTAAGGGCAGCATGTCACTCGTGAAGGACTTGTTTTTGGAGGTGTTCAAGGAAAAGTAAACTTCTAAGCTGACTATTTCCCAGTAAATGGAGGTGTACTTCATACTTGATACACAGTTTCGTGTTTCTTTATTTTTTTCCTTTTTTTTGTCAAAATAGTTTCATATTTCTTACTATACACTAGAAGAAAAACCCACATCTATCACGGTAAATGTCCGTGGTTAATTGCAATTTACCACGGACATTGTGTCCGTTAGTAATCTGAACGTGATGAAAGGTTTGAACTTCTACCACGGTCAAAGCGTGTTATCAATTAAATAATAATCACGGATCTAACTCGTGATAAATTGGAATCTAGCATCATGCACTATGACCATTGTGGATCACTAATTGACCACGGTCAATGCCCGTTGTAATAAGATTTTCAAAAAAAAAAAATAAAATAAAATAAATTAAAAAAAAAAAATATATATATATATATATATATAATCACACAATTGCAAATTTACTGTAATACAATAATTTCTTAATTAATCAATTATTAAAAAAAATTACAAGCATTACACTAAACTACAACAAAATAAGGTATAAAGCCAATGTCCTATGATGTGCTTTTCAAAGTACACGGAAGAATTATCAACAAGATAAAGATAATACAGAAAATAATGGGATGCAACGAGTAACACCATGTATATGTGGGATGCAAAGTCACTTTTACATTTCCAGAGGTGTGAATTTTGTTTTGCTCCGCTGCATAAATGTAAATGAGGAGATGACAATTTTGATTTGTAAGTATTTATTCGTTTTTATGTAGATTTTTTTGTTAACATAACTTTTTTTTCCGCACAATTGGATGAAATTTTTTCAAGATTTGGACAACATTGATTTCATCTCATTTAGACGTTGATTTCACAAGGGTTGAAGCAAAACTAGAAAAAGTTTAATGAGGAAATGTTTTGTGTGAGAATTGAAAGAGAAGAAAATTGGTGGATGAATGAAAAAAATGCTATGCCTATGTATAAAGGAAACTGTTTTCTTTTTAAATAGTATTTTGCATCCCACGTGAACCTCTCTCTTCTTTTTCCCTTGTGGAGCCTACCTTTTGTGATGCAAAATCAGATGCAATTATGCATCTTTACCTACCCTTTCCGGTGAGTTGCAAAATTTGCAACTTATACAGTTTTACATCACCAAGACCGGAGCAACTTCTCAGGCCCGACCCTGTGGGTAACCCAAGTAGGCGTCCTTCTAGGGCCCCATTTCGGAAGGATCTTCAAAAAAAGTAAAAATATCATAATTTATTTGCTAGTGTAGTGGAAATATCGGCTTCATTTTTCTTTGGGGTGTAGAGTTTGAAACACAAAGTCACTAGATTTTTCTTGATTTTTCTTGCTTTTCAAATTTACTGCCAATCCATCTGTCCAAATAAATATAAAGTTATAAAACTCAAGTCTCTTTGCAATTTTTTTTCTTTCAACTTCTCATTCTCTCCATTTCTATTGAATGTTTAAACCAACTATCATATCAACTATCATATGGGCTTAAAGATTGTACTTTAAGGTAATCAAAACTTTGAATTTTATATTTTTTTTTCAATAACTTTTTATTCAATGGATTATTTTAATATTCAATTCGTTAGTGTGATGTTGATTTTAGAAGGAAAAAAACACAAGAGAAACAATTGGCATTGAATTTATTATACTCATCAATCAAGTTTTGTTGTTATTTACTCTCTTGATCATCAAGTTTTATTGTTCTTCACTCTTAATCTTAAACTCTTGATTGCAAACATTCAGTACATTTGTGTCTAAAAACGTGAATCGTGTAATGTTTAAATAATGTTTGTATATTTATCTTCTTTTAACATTAATTTTTAATGATATTTGATATGAAAATAGAACTTTTTATGTATTTAGCGAATTCTTTTATACAAATCAATATACAAAGAACCAGAGATCAGAGAATTTTAGGGCCCAACTTCGAAGGCTCGCCTAGGATCCCCAAATTTTCAGGGCCGGCCCTGCAACTTCCGGCCGCAGCAAACGGGATTGCAGGTTTTTGTGCAAGTTTAGAAGAATTAGAGGGGCGTATTTTTGTTCTTAGGGTCTATTTTTGACAACCACAAGTACAGCCACACCTCTTTGAGCTTCTGTGGCTCCGCCACTAGTATTGGTGTCGTTTGTTTGTTTGGTATATTTTTTTTTTCGGTACTTTTGTACAATTAATGAAGTTATAAAGTAGCTAAAAAAAGTATTGCACGCCAAATTTGTATTAAGCACTTCAAATTCAAAATTTGTGCTTCGGCATTGATGAATCTTAATTTGGCATAAACAAGGAACTAAACATAAATTGTTGCTCCCTGCACAACTATTTAGACAGAAAAACATAAATGATTATACATTTCCCAAGTAGAAATTAATTCCCAGCCAAAGTCATCTCCCTACTACTCTCTCTGCAACAGTTTTTCTTCTTCTTTATACATACTGTGCATTGCTTCTTTAAATTTGGAACTTAATGAAGAAGATTACTTCATGAAGAAGATTAAAACTTACTGTACATTGCTTCTTTAAATTTGGAAAATAATGAACCAAAAGTGTACCCAAAAGAAAAAGAATAAAGAATCAAAAGTGTCCTATGTTCCCCATAATATCTTCTACTTTCTATTCTCTTTTATCTTCTTTCTCTGCTACCATTCAATTCTGTTCTTTAGTACTGTTCTTCTTCCAGTTTCTTAGCTTAGAATGGCGGGAAAAGACAAAGCTGAAGGTCATGCAATCGGGATCGACCTGGGGACAACCTTCTCGTGTGTGGCGGTGTGGCAGTATGATCATGTAGAAATTATAGTGAACGATCAGGGTAGCAGGACAACTCCATCTCACGTTGCATTCACTGATGCCGAAATACTGGTTGGTGATGCTGCATTTAACCAGCTCATCAGAAACCCTTCCAACTCCATCTTTGGTAAGGTTCTTCCCACTTGTACTTTCCAAATTGATAATCAGCTTTTCTCAAATCGATAATGACACATATTGTGTTATTTTAATAAAAGGGGCTGAAAGATTTGTCTTAATTTTGTTATGGTGATCTCAATGGGAGACTTAAGATTGATGCTTAAGAAGTCATAGTCGAACTACAATGATAGTATTAAAGTTTGCACCAGTTTTCTGGTTAAAATTATTGTTATTCTATACAGATTTGTTTACAAAATTCTTTTTAATTATTTTACTTTGTTAGATTTGTTTTCTAATTGTGGCACCAATTTTTAGATGCCAAGCGATTAATTGGTAGAAGATTTAGTGACTCATGTGTTCAAGATGATATTAAGTTGTGGCCTTTCAAGGTCATCGAAGGTCCTCATGATAAGCCTACGATTGTGGTCACTCACAAGGGCCAAGAGAAGCAGTTTGCTGCTGAAGAAATCTCATCAATGGTATTGGGAAAGATGCGAGAGATTGCTGAGGCCTTCCTCGGCTCAACTGTTAAGAGTGCGGTCGTCACAGTCCCTGCTTACTTCAGT